CCAGTGCCTATAGTTGACTTTTTACCGAAAATATCGGTAAAAAGTCAACTATAGGCACTGGGGTCCACATATTCAGTACTTAAGGGCTTGAACAGCTTTGGTTCGATTTAGAGAATTTTTAGTCACAAGGTGGCATACTTTAAACGTATTATTCACGCAAAGTTTTACGCCGATATAATCATTGTTGCTTGATTTGCATTGTGGAAAGTGAAAGAATCAGATGGAATTTAAAATGGTGATATATGAGAAATAGGCGTGGTTGTAATCCGATTTCGTCCATTTTCGCACTATAATATGGAAATATGAGATTAATGTTATGTATCAAATTTAGTTGAAATTGGTTTAGCAGATCCCAAGATATGGGTTTTCACCTAAAAGTGAGCGGTACCACGCCCACTGTCTAATTTTGAACGAGCTTCCTACAAAGTCATCTCATACCATCCCAGTAATAATATTTAATGGCTTTGGCATGTTTAGTGCTTGATTTATCGCTCTTTTAGTAGTTTTTAACAGTACTGTTATATGGGGAGTGGGCAGGGTTGTCCCCCGATTTCATCCATTTTCACACTGTCGATTAAAGTGATCAAAAAATTAGTTTTCAGTGAATTTTGTTGTTATAGCTTTAGCGGTTTAGGAGATATGCACATTAAACTTAATAGGGGGCGGGACCACGCCCACTTTTGTCCGATTACGCCCATCTGCAATACCAATAAATTTGTGTACCAAGTTTCATAAAGATATCTCAATTTTTACTCAAGTTACAGCTTGCACGGACAGATGGACGGGCGGACAGAACGCCACCCGGAATCCAACTCGTCTCTTCATCCTGATCATTTATATATATAGGTATATAACCCTATATCTAACTCGATTAGTTTTTGGTGATACATACAACCGTTACAGAGTGAACAAAGCGATTATACTCTGTAGCAACAGGTTGCGGGGAAAAAGAGGGTGGGGACCCGGCTGCTATGAAATTTAAAGTATACGCGTATCTAACAAGCATTAATGCTAAATTGATCAAACTTGCTGAGAACACATCTTTCTAACATTTCCCCATAATTCGCGTAAGTGGATGTATTGTAGTCGGATGATAACTACGTTCCCTTCCCATATTAAATTATTAAATTTTAGCTAATTTCGATACGTCAGTTCCGTCGGAAATATTATATCGAAAATATCGGTCAATCTTTGAGACATATAGAGGAAGAAACATCTTTTCCAGATAATAGTGTGCCCTTTGTCAACTCCTGAAAATATGTCCCTGACTTTGATCTTTCAAAAATCTGAGAGTATAAAATGGTTGGTTACTCCCTAATTTAACTTTTCCAAACTTGTTAGTAGTATTTAGTAATTTGGTATTGAAAGTAATTTTCTTTCAAAATACCATAAAATGGTTGGTTACTCCCGAATTTAACTTTTCCAAACTTGTTAGTAGTATTTAGTAATTTGGTATTGAAAGTAATTTTCTTTCAAAATACAAAGTTGAGGTGCTCACTACAAAAGCGTATTTCTAATACTGATTTCCAATTGACAGACAATTATAAGTCTCCGAGCATATTTATGTCATAAAAGCAGCAACGCTTTTCAATGTGTTCAGAAATTCTAAATATTTATCGATTATTTTCTGTATATTACAGATTCACAAGTGGTCGCATACTTATTGGGGTCTGCCGAGATGGGTTCTTTTCTTGCAAAACTATCACATAGTATTACCACGAAAACATCACCGCATACATCACGTAGCACCGCATGAGACATATTTTTGCATTACTACGGGCTGGCTGAATTGGCCATTAGAAAAGATTAAGTAGGTTCAATATAGATTACATCCAACTGATCTTTTTTGAATTAAATTTCATTTAATTAGATTCTGGCCCACATTAGAGGCTGTAATTGAGTATTGTACAGGCTGCAAGGCACGCGATGATGACCTCAAGTGGGCAAAAAAGATGACATAACTGTATTGGGACAAAGCTGAGAAATGGGCTTTAATTCTCGAGATCCTCACAAACTAGTCGATACCATACATACAAATGTACGTATGCACCGGTATGTGTGTACACGTGCGGATGTTTCTGCAAATGACACACAAAAAATTGTATGTACAAATGTTGAATAAACAAGTCGCATTAGTTTGCCCATACTAATTAGAATTTTTTAAGATTTTCTCAAAATTCATACAAAAACATACATATACATACATGCGTACATTCATAAAATTAATACACAAACACACACACACAGTATGTTGAGCGAAAGTGCAACAACAACTTAACATCAAATATCACAAGCAATTAAATAATTTAAGTGAACACTCTAGGAGAGTTAGGAAGCTTTTTTACAAATATACACCACATAGCGCATAATTAGAAGAAAATATCATTTTTAAATCATTTAAATTTAAGCTTTTATAGATAATACAATTATTAAACTGCTTAAATAACAACTATCGGTCAATTCTTTAGAAACAAACAAATTAAAAAACGATAAATTAATTTTACTTTAAAATATAACAAATTAGACACATAGCAGAGCATATGTGTGACATGTAATATATGCTTTAAACTTTATTATTTATAATTTCTAAGCCAAGCCATTTTTAATACTATTATAATGCATCACTCAATACAGTGCAGTTTTAACAATAAACCTAATTTTTAAAACCAAACATTTTAATTGAAAACAATTAATAATATTATTCAATGTGCTGTTATGAAGTTATATTATTTAATGGCCCGATTACGGTTTGCAACTCAACTGTATTTTAGTTGAAGTTTTGATATCGCTATTATGAATATCAAGTTAAATCGTGAAAAAAAATCACTTTTATCGATTTTCAATTTTTTTTTTTGATATAACTGTTTGATGTGTCAGTGCGGTTGGCTGAAATACTAAAAACCTACAACGGTTGCCAAGCAGTTGTAAAAAAATAAACTAATAAAAATAATTTTATATTAAATATTTTTAATTAGTTACATATTACATACAAAAATACATTATAAATATTCATTTAAAATTCATGGAAAGAATGCGCAGCACATCAGTTCTGACTCGCACATTTTCCTCATTGCAATATCAATCAAAACATATGTTTTTATTGTTTATTTACTCTTTCGTGAGCAATAACTGAATTGAATTATTTTAGTTTTTCGTTTAAAAATTTTCAGCAGTTTAATTATAAGCCAAATCTTCAATTTTTTTAGGTTGACAACATCAATTAGTTGTAGTTCGTAAACCTCTTCTTTACTGCCGTGGTAGTTCATAATAACAAATAAAGTTTTTTAGTTGTTCTGAATTGCTTTAACTTTAATTCAACTGAATTCAAACCGTAATAGGGGTATAAGTCAAAGGCATAAGCTGCGATTAAATTGGCTTGGTTTCATAATACTTACACCGCATTAAAATGAAATATACGTATGTATTATACGATTAAAAAAAAATGTACCATAGAATTGTAATCACAAAACTTTCGTTATTAGTCTAATTTTTTATAATCACTAAGTTTTGCTAGTATGTATATTCAACTTGCTGACAACAATCACACTGGTCTACAGTGGTTTTGTTGTCCTGGTATGCATAAGATCGATTTTGGATATATAATATTTATGCCCGCAGTTCATGAACTATTAATGATTTTGTAAGATTGGCTCTCGTTTAAGCAGCATTAACATCGCAGTAAACAGAGATACAAATGTCGAAAACATATGTTCTATTTCAATAAAACCCCTTTAATGAGCTTTCTTTTATAATTTTCCAGTAAACAGAGATACAAATGTCGAAAACATATGTTCTATTTCAATAAAACCCCTTTAATGAACTTTCTTTTATAATTTTCCACTCGACAATACCTGCTTACGGACCAACAGTAATCTACCATCATATGACGATCCCATCAACCTTGGTTCCTTTCTTCAAGCACTTTTAGATCTTGGTGGAACCACTCTCCGTTTTTTTCACTATAATTTCCTAAATTATCCGATAATTTACCTAGATGAATCCGGAGATAGTCTAACTTAATACTTATATATGCTCGTAGAGTATGAAAATTTGTAAGCATATTTGGCACAATTTCTTCATAATTTGGTACTTAATGGTTACTTAGGGAATCTTCGAATATCAACATAAAACCTTTCCACGATTCTGTTTTCAGAACAGTCAAAACTTTGATAACATTTTTATCTTGCTTTAATTGCAGTATCAAATATTCCTTTCAACATACTAAGCTTCGGGCATTTTCTAGAAATGTAATTACAATAATATTCTTTCACGTCAAAATCTTTGAAAAAATATTTTATCATGTTCAACTTGATCACGTATTAAAGCACAGAGCTCATTTTGAGAAAATAAATTTGGTAGATCTGGGTATTTGGAGAAAATAGTGTTTTTGAGAAGTACATGTGAATTACTTTTGAAATGAGAGCGACATTTTCATTGAATAAAACAGGACATTTTATAGATTGCAATTCTAGATACCTTCACGTTTGACTTTTTTAACTTTTTAAAACTTCCGCATATATTTTTTATTTTCGGTTACTGCGGAACCTGGGAGTGGGGATCACGTGATGTTTGTATGCGCGAGAAAGGTGCACAGAACTCTAATCATGACTGGTAGCATAAATTTATATTGATAATTGATAACTTTATACCGATAATTGATTGAAATATTGGGTAACCATTACAACAAGAGCAATTTTATTACTTTCATGAATAAATTCTAATAATAATCTGGGCATTTAAAAACATTAAAATTTGCTAACATATCCAGGGCAACCCAAAAAAATTTGTAGAGCTGTGTTATTACAATTGTAGTAACATATTGCTGTAATCGTTGAAATGGTACTGGCAATCCATTTTTAACTTGCTGATTGCTTTTATCTTTTCAAGAAATCAATAATATATGTTCTAGGAATATTTAAAGTTTGGTAATGCACATTCACCTTATGTACTAATCACTGTTATTTAGTTAAAATTTGTAATAAGTGTATATCCCATTTCATGCTAATCTGTAATAGTAATTAAATTTTTCTAGTAATTCGCAAAACAATTAATAACAATTCATGTACGGTGTTCTAATTTATATATTTCACAAAATTTTTATTAACTTTCCATCATTTAAAGTATTATGAAATGAATGCGGAGGTGCATGTCGTGTGAATGATCCTTATTGAAATGTCTACCAAAGCCTTAGTGAATGTATGGGCTGTCTTAAGACTACTTACTTAAAAGCAAATGATCTTTAATGGGTTTAGGTGTAGTTAGAGACAGAAAAAAATGAAAATTTTAAATATTTTTTTGGCAGTAAATTATTTTCTTCTATAAAAGTAAAAACATTGCATCATTCGATCTAATTTAATATAAATTTAAAAACAAAATTAATCATTTGAAAAGTAAAGATTGTTTTGATCCCGTTCCAACCGAAGCTCCTTACGGTGGCCATCACTAATCCTTGGAGATTTTATCTAAAATCAATCAGACAAAAAAAAAATGTATTTTATTATTAGATAATCTAGTGCCTGATCGAAGATTTTTTTAATTTTCAGAAAATTGTTTTCAAGATTTTCGGAAAAAATCCAACAGTTAATGATTTATAAAAAATTAAAATTAAACTGCACTAGTTTTTCATGTTTTCAAATTAAATTAAATCAATTAAATTTGATTGAAGTCTACCGAGCGATTTTCGAGCTACAGTGATCACCAGTTAAAAAACATATTGCATTTAAAGCTTTACACTTGATTTACGTAAAGTAAATAATAAATTATTTTCCAAAGCGCCCGAGATCCCTTTGCTAATTATCGATTAACTCGATAAGTATTTGTCGGATTTACTTCAAATTTTCAGGGAATATTTCTAAGATTCTTACTTTAAGAGAAAGAAAAAAATTGATTTCATAAAAATTCCGACTACCCCTAAACCCTAATTTGAACATAATTTAATGGGATTTCACTTATATCCAATATGATATTCAATGGATATTATATTCAATATACGGTACTTCTAAAATAAAACAATTTCTCAATTCTACCGCAGTAAGTTTTTTAATGTTTAAAGTTTGGCTTTGAGTGACATTTTAATTGCGAATTTAAAATTTTAAATTACGTCAACATTCATTTATACACAAATTGTATATGCTTTTCTTAAGATATTAAAAAAAAATATTAAATTTAAATCTAAGGAATACAATTTAAAATTTTTAATAAGCGCATTTTATGTGCACTTTTTTACGCTTATGCCATTTTATTTCTTTAATGGAAACATCTACCAAAAACCAAAGCTTTAATATAAAATAATTATAATTCATAAAAAAACGTAAGTGACTTACATTTTGCCTTAACAAAAGAAAATATGAGAAGAAACATTACAAATCATCATTAATAATATTGTATAATATAAGGCCAACTTATGCTTTAATTATAATTCAAATCTTAAGATTGTAATTAAGTCTGTTAAGTGGCTAAAAACAAGCAAATATAAAAACAATCTAAACTTCGTCATGAATTGTACGAGTACGTTTTATAGAGTGCACCCTTTTACACAAACAAATATGTATGTACAAATATGTACGAATACCTATATAAGTTGATTATTATACGATTACTTATATACATTTGTAAACAACTTTATTCTGAAGCAATTTTGTATTTGTTTGCAAGTAATAAAGCAATATTCATTGTGATTATGGCTAGCCATATGCGTGTTTATTTTGTCGACCTTATTTAAATAAGATAATGAATTGCAAGTGTTAGGCATTTAGTATAGTATTTTAAAATGCTATTTTCATATATATCAAAATAAAAAATTGCTCAGTCGGTAATATGGATCTATTTGGCAAGCATTTATTTCGAAATAATAATGGCAAATATGGCAGGGTTACGGAGAGATGACGAACTGGCGTGACACTTCAAAATTAAAACATATTGAGGAAATTAATTACGTTACGTAATATACATATACACAAAAGATATGTATGTTTTTATGAGCATTTTGAAATATATTCAATACCTATGTACATATGTATATGTCATAACCCAAAAAGTATTATCCATAATATAAATAAGGGAAACATTTTAATAAAACAAGAAAAACCGTTAGTTTCAGTTGCACCGAAACTTTAATACACTTTACAAGATTCCATACAAGAATCAAGAATATAATTGAAGACAAGATTGCATGATTATTCATCTGACGTCATTCTTATGGAATTGGAAGAGGAAGCAAATAAAAACTCTCATAAAGCATGTAAATTGTAAACAAAAAGGTAGTGTTTGTATACTTTCAACAGAAAATACTTCTGCTTACAACAAACAAACCGGAAATGGTTTACGCCATTTAGCGGGTGCACAAACCCGGAAGTAAAGCAATTATTGCATTGTTGTTGTTATACGCCGCCAGGCGCACAAGGAAAAGAAATATATATGTATACGTGTTTTTGAAAACAAACTCAAAAATGGAAAGCAAAAATTATATTTATATGGTACATACATACATATATGTATGGTATCTATGTTTTTTCAGCAGAAAATATTTTCACATAAAAAAATTATGTGAATTAATAATATTACACTGCTTATATCAAAGGAAATACCACTTAGTTGCAGTTGCATGTTGATCTGCATAGATGCATTTGTGTATATATGTACATATGCATATGCATATTAGGGTGTGTTAAAAAAAAATTTTATATTTATAATGGGAGACCCTTCCCATTACAATTAAAAGCACATACTTGGAGAGCCTTTCTTCGAGGTGCCTATAAACCAATTTTTTTGAGTACGAAGCGAAAAAAAAAAATATTCTGTTCTTTTACCCACCCTAACATACATATGTTACATATACATATTCATATGGGCAGTCGATTGAGTCGATTATGTTTCAATGTTTGTGAATGGTTATGTGAATTGTAAACAGCTGTTTGTTTTCAATTTTTTGGTGTATTTGAGAATTGTATTTTATCAAAAAAATAAGAAAATGGAGAGTGTTGAACTGTGGTTTTATGATGAAAATAAGAATGAAAATGCTAGCTTAACGAAGGTAGCAAAGTTAAGAAGGAAGTTAAGAGATGAATCTAACCGTTTGGTGTTGGAGGACCAAATGTACATAGTTTTTATGTGTTATTCAAGCAATTAACTAAATATGTTTATATCATTAAAGTTTTATTAAAAATTTTCGTTTGTCTAAATAAGCATTCAAGTATTTATTTACACGACTAGAAAGTAAATTACAAGCAGGTGTAAGAAATGCAATGTTCCTACGATATTACAGTTTTCTGCGACTCAAAGGTTATGTGCTCAAGTATCAACTAAGCGTAGGAAACGATAATAATATCGCACTTGTTCAATCTACCATCTTCTTATTATATATCCTGAAAGGTTTTAAGTTAAGAAAAACACGAATGTAAAGACTGGATATCATTTAAGCATTCCGAGTGTTAGATTTATTGGAAAGGACTGTGCTTCACGCTTTGTAGGCTACTGGTTCTCTCGAATCTTGCGTTGCCACTGCAATAAAATCCCTAATCGAAGTGTCCTAGTCATCAGTGTTTCTAACCACTTCTACATCTAAAACACTTCGTACAGGTGGTCCCAGACTATTCAGTTTTGGTGCTATGCCTTTCCACCTAGGTTTCACATGCGTCTTCTCACAAATCCCTTTTATTAATTCCTGGTAGATTTGCATTAGCTCCGAGAAAGCTGTATTTTATTAGTTTAGTTTAATTCTACATTTCAAACACATATTAGTATATATTTAAACTAATTACAACATCAAATACAAATAACTTACTTTTTATTCATTATTATCACTGATATTATTTTATTTTTATTTGTAATATCATGCTCTCACCATTTGAAGTGATTACATTTCATTTAACTTATTCACTGATCAACATTGTTCTCACTGCCGTTAGAGATGTATAAAACAGCTATTTTTGACTAGCCGATCGAAGCTGTGGCCTCTTTTATCGTCACAACTCTATTAGATCGGCTTCGTTACATTACTCTCCTTTTTTTTACTCTTGCAACATGTTGCTACAGTGTGTAATAGTTTTGTTCACCTAACGGTTGTTTGTATCACCTAATCTAATTGAGATAGAAATGGAGTTATAACATGCATTTCTGTCTGTCTGTCCATCTGCCTGCTGTAACTTGAGATATCCTAATGAAGCTTGGTACATGAGTTCCTTGGCAAAAAAGTGAGGACGAGTTCGTAGATGGGCGTAATCGGAGAGAGTGAGCTGAAGTTACTACTTGTATAATAGCTGCACTTAACTTTTATTACAATAGCGTCATACTTTAAATTTAAGTGTCTAAAGTAGGTGGTAGTTTCAAGTCTACCTCTAATATACACTCCTTTTTTAATAAAATTTTCTCTGAAAGCTTCGATTGCATCATCTAATGTAAATTTCTTTTGTATTTGTCTATCAAGTCGATTATTATATCCTGAACAGGGCATATTAAGTTAAGTCATGTCGGCTTGTCCGTCCATCTGTCTATATATACGCGAGCTAGTCCCTCAAAAACTCAAATTCTTGTATTGAAAATATATCTTCACGAAATTTTGCATGGATTATTAGTTAAGGCAACGGTGCAATCTCCAAAAAAATTGTTCAGATCAGACCACTATAGCATATAGATGCCATACAAAATGACCGATCAAAATACAAATATTTTGTATTTTTGAAGGGTATTATAACTACGGTGCAACCGAAGTTAACGTTTTTTCATGTTTCTTCATAACTTTTCTCTATATTCATACGTTGTACTTCTGTATTATAGGAAGCGGAAACGTTATTATGAAATACACTTTTGGTTTCTGTTGCAGGACTTTGTGTTACATTCAAATAAGCGTTATTATGTTATTAATTTAGTGGTTAACATTTTTTTATATTTTTACTGGATTAAGGTTTATTATTATAATTAACATCTTTATCAACATCCAACATTTCTTTTGTATTCTCTCGTTACCAGTTTCAACCAAATTTGATGTGTGAGGTTATCCAAACATTTTTGTAATACGTGGGAATGGTTGCCACTTCTATTTCCCATATAACACGCTTTTAAGTTCCACCTTTCAGGCTTTGCACAAATAGTGCGATTAATGTACGTCGAGAAATTGTCAAAATCAAACTATAACTTTTCAAGGACACAGACACAAAACACCCCAGTGCATTTTATTGATTTTTTATCGAACGTATCGGTCGATCTGTGAGGCCTATTTTTGAGAAGCCCTTGTGCCAAAAATAGGCACAATCGGGTTATTACTTCTCTTAGCTCCCATATACCTAATACCATATAAGATTTTTAAACTTCCGGTTGGCTTTGTACCGTATATACCAGTCCATATGTAAGATATCTTAGCAAAATTAATTAATATTGGGTAATTACTATAGTTTACTACCAAAAATATGTGAAATTTTATCTTACTACATTTAATGATTCTCGTTATTCTTTATAAAATTGCTTGAAAATATATTAAATGAGCAATTAATGTAACAAGCCCAAACCTTTTCCTGAACTCAATATACGCTGTTCGATGATTTCCGTCCAGCAACTTTTAACCGCTTACGTTGATCAGAAAGTGTGATATGCTAATAAAACTAAGTGGACAAGTTAAGGAAGTTCTAAGTTCGAGTGTAACCGAAAATTTTATACTCTCGCAACTTGCAAGGATCAAACCGGGAAATTACTTCAGGTGTTGGCATTTTATATTAAAGGAAGTATTGATCCGGTTTAACGCATTTTTGACACACAACATACTGCAATATTATCAAAGGTTTTGACCGATATTTTCGGTAAAACGTTAACTATAGCCACATATTCAGTACTTAGCGGCTTGAACAGTTTTGGTTCAATTTAGACAATTATTGATCACAAGGTGGCATACTTTAAACGCATTATTCACGCAAAGGTTCACCCCGATGCAATCATTGTTGCTTGATTTGCATAGGGAAAATGAAAGAATCAGATGGAATTTAAAATGGTGGTATATGGAAAATAGGCGTGGTTGTAATCCCATTTTCGTAGAAATATGAGATGAATACTATGGACCGAATTTGGTTGAAATCGGTTGAGCAGATCCCAAGATATGGGTTTTCACTTAAAAGTGGGCGCTGCCACGGCCACTGTCTAATTTTGAAGTCGGTTCCTATAAAGTCATCTCATACCATCCCGGAAATTAAATTTAATGTCTCTGGCGTGTTTAGTGTTTGATTTATCGCGCTTTTAGTAGTTTTTATCAGTACCGTTATATGGGGAGTGGGCGAGGTTGTCACCCGATTTCATCCATTTTCACACTGTCGATAGAGGTGCTAAAAGCATTTGTTCCTAGTGAATTTAGTTATTATAGCTTTAGCGGTTTAGGAGATAAGCCCATTAAGCATATTAGGGGGCGGGACCACGCCCACTTAAAAAAATTTAACTGCGGATGCCCATCCCTAATGTAACAGTCTTGTATCTTATTGTGGAGCATCGTTATGGTAATTTATTTGTTTGTGATGGCGTGACAGTGGTTCGATTACGCCCATCTACAATACCAACCGTCTTAAGGTACCAAGAAACATGTATACCAAGTTTTATAAAGATATCTCAAATTTTACTCAAGTTACAACTTGCTCGGGCGGACGGACGGACAGACAGTCACCCGGATTTCAACTCGTCTCTTCATCCTGATCATTTATATATACATCACCCTA